CATAAATAGCTTCAGAAGATGTCTCACTCAAAGCCAAACCCACATAATCATCAGGGTTATAAGTTCCCATTTTATCAAGTGAAGATGACAATGACTAGTTAAAACCATAACCTACAAAGATGAATAGAATACTCTTACGCTTATATCTTGTCAAGAGAAATGGGTAATCCACTCTCACTCAAAAAAAACAAAGCTCTGATATTGTAAGTATACTCTTGTCAATCTGTCAAGGATAAAGACTCGATGAGGAAAAATATACACAAAAAGGCTATCTCGATATAATAAGTCAAAATATAAACAAGTAGGTATATTAAAAGGAAACTGGAATGGCTATTGCCACAAGACAAGAAACTAAAGACTCTTGAACCTGGACTAGAAGCAAGAAAGGAGTTGACAAGAGTGAAGAAGCCTTCACTCTTGTCTCTATATATACTATCTAACTAGGGGCTACGTGGCGACGTTCTATAGGACCTCCAATATGTGTTGACTTTGTAGGACACATGCCTTGACTTACAAGGCAAGTTTATCTACGTGTGGGCCACATAGTTAGCTTGATCTTCAAGCTAACAACATGTGTGGCACATGGCCAACTTGTTGACCACGTTTCTAATCCAAAAAGTCAATTAGACACCTATGAAGTCAAAGCAACGTCTAGGAAGTTTCTAGGAAGCTTCTATATTAAATATTATAGAATTAACTTACTTTTATCTACTTTTACTTACTTCTACCTATTTCTATATGTAATTATTAGCTTACATGATTATGGCCGGGACACACGCATAATCACACTCATATACACTAGTCTTTATGTAATAGACTAGTGTATAATATTTAGAAGGATATAAAGAAAGTATTTGTAAAATCAAGTTGCTTTAGAAGTTATTGTTGCAATAAAATCAAAATAAAATTTGCAATTGATACTTAAAAAGATAAGATATTTCTATTAGTAATTGTAGGAGCTCACTTGTATAGAATTTACAAATCTGGTTGTCACTGCCATCTTATTTGTAATTTTCGAATGTATAATTTGTGGCCGATCTTATAAGATTCACATTTCTGATTTTTATATAGGACTTCTAATGTGCTGCTACTTGTAAGGGCTACTAATGCGTTTCTACGTGAATTTAAGATGATTTATTGAAGTAGAGTTGTAGATTGTTGTCAATTTCCACCACTTTGCAACAAATTGAATTACCTCGCTTACCTCGATTGGTTAACCTACTATATCAAAACTGAATAATCCTTCAGGTTACTTGCATGTTTGCCTACTTCCACCACCTTTACTAAAGAGGATCTCAAATATTGGAAAGGTAATGGGTTTTTTCTGTGGTGAAGGTGGTGGAAATGCGACGTGTAAAATTTATAAGAAAAGACGTAGGAGTAGAGCACAGGAATATTCAAAATAGCAGATGGTTTCATTTCGGAGTGATATATTCTATTTGTATTTTATCACTAGTTAACATACTTCTCATGTAGGTTTAGAAGCAATCTTTGATAATGCACTGATGTACAATGTACAACCGCATGTAGTGGGCAACAGGATGTGATTTAAATCCAATTGTGCGCACCAGTCACGAGCGGAATCTGAAAACAAGACAGCGCCATAGCATATGGCCTCAGTGGTAAACCTCTATCGAAGGACTTCTCATCAACGTTCTAGGAGGGGATTCTGGTACACACAGATAGCTACATTACCATCAATTTATGAGAAATTCATAATTTGAAGTTCACTAACGAGCAAATATCGGTGAGATACCAAAAGAAGAATGAACACTACTTGAAACTACATATAAAAGGTCTCAGTTATTTGTTTCCACAAGGTGACAGAAGTCGACCGTTCGGAAAGATAACGCAAAATTTAAGCATCATAGACCAAGACGCTACGGTACGCCAAGACACCTCAGTACCAGGATTAGCAATCTGGAAAGTATCTTGTCTTCATAGGAGGGCTATAGCTCTCCAGTCAAAGCGCAAGGATAACTTGAATCCTCATCGGTGTCCAGCATAACGAACCAGCGTACTAATTCATTGTTCGATTGGCGGAGGTCACGGAGATAACTGGCAAACGGCTGATCTGTAGGGGAATAAACGATCGACCACCGCAAAACAGAGCAAGGGATGGAATAGATGCAACTTTCGTGATGTGACAGATGACAACAACTGAGAAATATCATTATACCCGATATCAAACTACCGAGAAATGCCAGGACATGAATCAAGGGTTGCACTAAAAACCCTATACACTGTCGGATGTAACAACCATCCTGTGTAAGTGATTAAGATAATGAAGAAGAAGAACTGTTGCCTAGGAATGAGTTCTTCATGGAACGGCCACAATGGAAGACCGTACTTAATACTGGACTGACCGGCAACACTTCCTGGGGCTGGACGCAGCACAGACAGTATTACATCGATCTAAAAACAAGCATAGTAGCAAACGGGAGCTTACCCGGCAAACTCTAACAATCTGTGCGACCACCTGGAGTGTCGACGTTTAGCAGCACAACTGTACCGAAGGAGATAGCAACTCACATAGGTTGCACAAGTTGGGAAGAATATGGGGTTATAAATAGTGACGAGCAACCACGAATTGAATAAGAGACGAGAGAGGGGGCAAGACTACGACGACGACGGCGGCCGAGAAACCCTAACTTCGACTGCGCAATCTCAGATGTCACACCTGGAAGCTTTTACTTGGCAAGATGGAATAATTCGAAATCACTGAGTTGTGCTGTGCTACTAAAGTGCTGAATCCCTTCACAAGAATCAACACAATATCACAACATTGCGACATTCGATGACATCGAATGGGTCCCTTCACGACCAACTCACGAAGCCTGTCGAGTTAAGCTTCACATCCGTTGCACACAGGGTACAGTCTGAATTAGGGTTTACGTTGCGAGCAAACATCGTTGTGGGCTTAAGAAATAAAAAATTACACAATAAACAAATTTTATATGACAAAAAAGGAGGGGGGGGGGGGGAAATGTATGATTCTTCACCATCAGGGCCACATCAGATTTTGTTAGTGGTGCACATAAGTTATCGAATTGAATTTAATATTTCGGTTGTTTATTTATTTTATTCAAGTTTTGGCATTGATTTTTAGTAAATGGACTTTGGAGCCAAGTCCAACTTCTCTACTATTGGTATGGAAAGACTCCTCAAGAAATTGGTTTCTTATTATTTTTTACAGTAATAAATGTCAAAATTTATCTCTTTCAGAATTTAACAAACAAACAATCCTACTAAGGAAGCAACAGAACAATTGTATGATTAATCTAGTGATTCCAAATTTACATAAATGGTTTTAGTTACTAAGTATAATTAACTATTCAACTTTTAAGATGGAAAAAATCCTGCCATCTGTTTGAGGAGAACAATTTGCTAACAAGCTACATGTTCTAAACTGTACCAAGAAGATTATAATAACATTAGTTCATTTAGTACAGTGTTGTTAAACAGTAACTTGTAATTCATTTTATTCTTAAATATTACATTTTGTCGCAGTAAGTTAAGAGCACCTCTGGAAACCATAATCGACAACCCACCAGAAATTGAAATTATGTTCAAATTTACCGGCATCAATCGGTTGCACATAGCATTCTGTCAATTTCTGCAATACTTTGGCATCATTGTTACGAAACTTAGTTTCATTTTTAATAGTATTTTACCAATTTCATATATAAAGTTCAATAACCACAAAAAGAGACGTCCAACCATTGTCACTGATGTGATACTCATAGATAATACCATGTAAATGTTTAAACTTTATCACAATGGCATGACAAAATTTTGAGGAAATAATTTGTTTGCAGAGTTGAACACAAAAAAGATTAAAAAATATGGTTGGATGATGTTTATATATACAAATTTTAAAAATATTAAACTCATACTTACCCGAAATGAACCAAGCCCAGATACTTTGACCTGTGTGCCAAAATCCAACAAGGCTTCTGTAGTAAAGAATTGAAATTTAAAAACGATGTTGATAATAATGAATAAAATTTGAGAATATGAAAAATAACATGAGTTAAGCCCCTATTCGAGATTTTAATTGAAACACCAAATCTACTATCCCAAATCTACTCTCTCATTGCATAATTTATCCCGTTTGGAAAAAATTAACCGTAATATAAATATCCTTTGCACATGTTGATCATTATTGCTGTAAGACCCAAATTGTTAATAACAACATTTTAGTGCACATGGAGCTATTATGCATACTAATTGGAATTGACCCACAGGCATCATCGAGCCTGTGCACAAAATTCAGTCAAACACAATTTTGATAAGGTCTTGTTGTAAAATTATCCAAACAACATAAAGGATGTAACAGAAAACAAATAAAAAACTTGGTGTTGCATTCAAGCAGAATTTCAAGAAGCTCAAAGCTGATAGATTTTGAAACTAAACGCACAAAATACAAAATGATAATCAATTATGATTAATGTAAATAGAAAAAAAGAAAAAAAAGGGTTTGATATGATCATAATTGTGACCAAAACGACCATCACTTGCATACATTCATGCAAATTGTAACTGGAACTGCAAAGGGAAGCCACACTTGAAACTATGCTCAGAGTAGTGCATCAAAGGGAAGAAACAAATATCAACAACATTAATCACATTCAATGACCACAAGCTTTCTTTTTACATGAATTATAACAGTATTAATGAAAAAACACTAAGATCACTTCAAGTTGTATACATTAAACCATTGCAATTGTAGAGGCATTGACACAAATGACACACGGAATTGTAAGCCAATGACAATCAAGCAACAGCCAACATTCCAGCTTCCCGCCTCTCAAAGCAAACTACTTGTAGGAGACGAGGTTCGATCCCAAGACCGATTGCAAAGCATCGTTGACCAATAACGCGAGCCACATCTGGTCAAGCCCTCCAAACCAACGAGAGACATCCAAAAATAACGAACGTCGTCCACATCACTCTTCATCCACAAGTTTAGGGTTTGTGTCTCGAGGCTTGAAGGTCTGCCCCGCGCATTCGATCAGATCTCTTTTTCGCCAACGCCGAAGTTGAGCTGCGTTGCCGCAGCAGCCCAGATTGTCTGTTTCCGGTCTTCTGGTAGAAGCCATGGCTCCCAAGTCAGTGAAAGCTTCCAAGAGCAAGGAGCTGGTGAGGGGCATCAACCGCAGCGGCAGGTCCAAGACCTACCACAAGCGCGGCTTGTGGGCTATCAAGGCCAAGAATGGTGGGAAGTTCCCTACGCACGAGAAGGCTGCGGTAGCCGCGGCTCCCGCTGTCCGTGCGCCGAAGTTCTACCCCGCTGATGATGTTTCCAAGCCCCTGCACAAGAACAAGGTCATCAACGCTCCCAAGCTGAGGTATGTTTTATTTATTTAGGGTTTTTGTTTAGGATTGCTTCCCTTTCAGTTGAGATGTTTATGCCCTGCTATCTGGGAATTATTGGACAATTGAGAATCGTGGGTTGGGTAGAGGCGAAGGTTTAAGGTGAGAAGATGGCAATGTACATGAGGTTATGAAATCATAATCGTGGCATTGACACGCCACGATGCATATGGGATTGTCTAGAATGTCAGCGCCAGACACCATTTTTTTGTGTTTTATTGTTTTTGCGTGTGTCGCTGTGTATGTGCCCAGAACTGAATTGTTTGTTTTGGTTTCGTTCCATGAAACGCATTCGCGAACGAGGAATTTGTTGTAGTTGACTTGGTTACTGTTGCAACATTCAGGTCAAGCATCACTCCAGGGACAGTTTTGATCTTGTTGGCTGGAAACTTCAAGGGAAAGCGTGTTGTGTTCTTGAAGCAGTTGGAATCTGGACTGCTGTTGGTTACCGGTATGGAACTCTTCTATGATGGATGTAATTTCGGAGTTTGGCGTTGGTGGAAGCGGTTTGAGGGTGAAAGGCGATACCTGGCTGCGTATGATGCATGTGGACGTAGAATAGTGTTTGTGCGATGCATCACGGAAGCACTAAGTGAAGATCGTGGAGAATGAAGTGATGACGGTTGATAGTGGGGGATTGGGATAGCTTGCACATTTAACAATCTTGACACTGATGCGGGGGGGGAGTTGAGTGCGAGGAGGCAGAGGTTGGTGGTTGATGATTGTAGGGAACGATGTTGGCATGGTTGTGGAGGTCTGTGAACGTAAGAGTGTATTGTGCAGGACCATTCAAGGTGAATGGAGTTCCATTGAGGAGGGTGAACCAGGCGTACGTGATTGCGACGTCCACTAAGGTGGACATCTCATCCGTGGACGTTGCAAAGTACTCCGACGCGTACTTCAAGAGGGAAGTCGCGAAGAAGAAGAAGGGAGAGGCAGAGTTTTTCGAAGCAGAGAAGGACGTAAGTGTTGCTGTGACGCAGGCCGCAAATGCAATGAGTCTTGCAGGGAGTCGGTAGTGGGGTGGTAGTGGGGAGGTGGGTTGTGGGTGGGTGTGTTGGGACGGTGTGAGGTTGGTATACAGATTGTAGATGCTAAGGTTGGGAAGGGATGGTGTTGTGCAGAAGGAGGAGAAGAGTTTGCCAGAGGAGAAGAAGGAGGACCAGAAGGCAATCGACGCGAAGCTGATCCCTCTGATCGAGGCAGTACCGGAGCTGAAGAGTTACTTGGGTGCGAGGTTTAGTTTGAAGTCAGGCGTGAAGCCACACGAGCTTGTGTTTTAAAAGAAGCAGGGAATGCGATATGAGTAAAGTGGTGGAGATTTGATGTCTGGAAATGTCGGGGAGTGGTGTTGTGGTGAAAGAGACATGGAAATGTGAACGATTGGGGTTTGATTTTGAGGTTAGGGCGGCACTGGAGAGTTCTGTGACATTGTGAATGGGCATGTTTGCGCCAGTGCGTCATATCACTTGTTTTGGGATTGGCCTTGATTTATAATGGTCGTTCCATGTCTACAGCATGGTTTGGTGACCTGGTCAGGGTCGTTCGCTTAGCCTCCGTGCATTTTTCAATCTCGTCGCTCAGGATTCGTACTTGTTCTACTGCTTACAGGTTTCACCAGCATTTTTATCTGATCTGTTTTTATCCGCACCTTACAAAGTACGAACTCAAATGAACAGTTGCTACATTTTATATCTGAGTCTTGTGACATAAGACATCTGATCATGGATTATTCATTTAAGTTGTGCAGGGCTAGAAAAAGTAACAAGATATCTGTTCATTTTTTCTAATCTGTCAATCGTTGATGGAGCTAAACGGGAGGGCTTACGAGATGTGCTTGTTTCTATGTGCCGGTGGATACTTCTTGCATGACACAGTACCACAAGAATACGGTGAAAATGTGTCCTTTCCCATTCTAATGTCTGTAATGTGTTTTGTTGTCGCAAGGACGCTGCATTCGTTGTGGATTTGGCGATATTTATCTTGATTCCCAGCAATTGTCTTAAAAGGTAGTGTAACTGAAGTGTCGTCGCAAATCTCTATCATAAGTGAGTATGTTTTGGTATCTTTTACATTTTCATGTGAAGTTTCTTGCTTTGAAGAATCAGTCAATGTTTAGCTCCGAGCACATGGTGGGGAAGGATAACGGTTTGAAAAGTGACGCAACATAAATAAATTGTTAGAACTTAATGTTATGATAGTAGTCAGATTTATCATAATAAAAGTAATCAAAGTAAAGTAATGTTGTGATAGTAGTGAAGTGAATGGTGTGGACTGACGTGAACACCCCCTCCAATAAGAAATCTACATTTAATGTTGTATCATAACTTTTGTCTTGATACATGTAACAATTTTTGACAATTTCATGGGTAATGTCCTCCATCATACATATTCTGTCAGATTAGAAGGGTTTGAAGATGCTCAAGAAAATGTTCACATGGTTCCAAAGTGATAATAGCCATTGCTAAGATCTTACAATTTTAACAATTCGGAAGGAGAAATTAAGAGAAAATGTGGTTCTTATAATAAGTATATGAAGAATGGCATTTCTGAAAAATGTAATTGAATACAATTACAGGCTAATTTCTAGGTAAAAAAAAATATATATCTCTTTTGGAATCAAGTAATTTTACATATAAGATGACTAAGCCTCAAATACATGTTTACATAATTTTAAAAAGGTTGCTAATCTAATCCATAATGCAATTAATAAATTTTGAAGTTGAACCATATATTATATAAATTACTAGTATTATACACACACATATACTTACTTAGCAAGCTAAATGATTATCAAAATTATTTAGTTATTAAATCATTTGTTGTTATTGAAACATTAGATGTGGACTTATAAAAATATTTTATTTGGGCATATGTATCTACTTTTATTTATTTATTTACTTTTTAATTATAATTGTCAAAATATATGCTCCATATATTCACAAAAAATGAGGAAAGAGATGAACAAATGTTATTGGTTCTGTTATCATTACATTTCTGGAAAAAAATAAAAAAAATAAAAAATAAAAAACTTCATGTTTTATTCTTTTGATTAAACATTTTTTCAAAATAGAAGATCCAAATTATTCAATACATACATACATACATACATACATGTATAATATATATATTGGAACTTTTCAATCAATTGCTCTTTGAGCTCCATGTCCTTAAGGAATAGAATTTGTACATGTTCTATGTATTTTTGGTGTTCCAAAGACTTCTTCAAGGATTCATGCGTAGTGTGAACACCTATAACTTACAACAATTTAGTGCTAAGAGTTTGAAAATTTGACGAAGAGCCAAAACTATTTGTTGTCAATGCCACTTCAAAGAAACAATGATTTTGAAAGTGCTACTTGGGTTGTAAGTATATAGAACACTAGAAACACCAAAAACTCTAGAAACATAAGGAATATTAGGAACATAGATAGCACTGAGAACATTGGGAACACAAAGAACCATGAGAATACAAGAAACACTAGAAACATTAGAAATATTAGGAACATAGGGAATACTAGGAATATTGAAAATACTACAAACACAAGGAACACTAAGAATACAAGGATTATTAAGATCACCAAGAACATTGATTTTATATAGTGCTCAATTGATTTTATAGAGTGACCATTATAGATTTTAAATCGTGCTAACAACCTCAACCAATTAGTGATTTTTATGGAAAAATATACAATTTTTTTTTTTTTTTTTTTTTTTTTTTGTAAAATAGATATATATACTCAAATATACGAACAATCTTTATAATAAAAAAGGTTATTCCTAAAATCAAATTTTATAGGATTATCATGACAATTAACTTGAACATCTAAAAGAAGAGGGTTTGTTGACATTCTTGAATGAACTTTATCAAGGAAAATAATATCAATAGGAATTTTCGACTCAATTGATTTGATTTAAGCAAAAAAATTAATTATTGATTAAATAAATCATCTCTTTTTTTTCACAAAAAATAAAAATGTTATAACAAAACATCTAATAAGATTTTTTACTTTTTACTTTTACTTCTATTTTTTTTTCCTTAAAAAAATGTAATATTAAATACAAATTGCAAGAAAAAAAAATGCTCCAGTGCACTTGACAAAAATTCAGAATATAAAATAATACAAAATACTAAAAATTCTTGTAATTAATATAATTAAAATAAATTTAGAAAGACCTTCTAAAATATAATGTCAGTTTTATAATTTTCTTTGTAATTTCTTATCTTCTTGATATAATATTGAATTATATATTTTGATTCTCCATAAAACATGTACAATCTTTTTTATTGGAATTAATTATTTAATTATTTAATTATTTTTAATTTTTTGTTATTGTTGTTGTGAGGATTTTAATATATATATATATATATATATATATATATATATATATATATGTATATATAGCACTAGTGTGTATATCTTATATTTTTGATTAAATATCTTGATACATAAAATTAATTACAACAAAAGTATAGAAGCTTTGAGGTGTCAACTTACAACCTTTTATTCATAATTCAATTAATCAACTATTGAGTTTGATAGCAGTATCAATTATTTGATTTAAAATTTTAAGATAAGATAAATTAAACAATAAATCCTCCACATCAAGTTATAATTTATAAAGTTATTGATTTAATACTATAATATTTTTTCACTTGATATTTATTTCTAGTTGTTGAGATTGTAATGCATATGTTGACATGCATTAATTTTCTTATTGTAAATTATAGATTTCATTAGATGATGTACAAATTGTGTCATATTTTTTGCACAAAGACTAAAATTTTGAAATAAATGTATTTAAGTTATATAATTAAAGAACTTTTTATTTATTGAGTAGAATTATAATAAATTTGAATTAAAATACTTTAATTGAATAACTTAAAAGTTAAAATTAGAGACAAAGTTAAAATGTTTGTTGATAAAACTTAAAATAGTAATCTAATACCATTGAATGTTTTTATAAGAACAATTCTTTATTCTTTGGTTAGTACAATTGCATTTTGTATGGCTTACTTAAGATGATTCAATTGATGAAATGACTTGTTATATTAATTTTGTCCTAAACTACTACCACTACTATTAATTAAGTTAGTAGAAAAAAATGATATATATAGTAAGTACTAAATCACTTATTTTTTCCTCAAATTTTAATTTAAAAATCTCAAAATCTATTAGATTTATTCTTATAATGATTACTTGAAATATCTATATAAAATATAAAATAAAATAATATTATTTATAAAATACTAGAAAGATAATATATTAATGTATCATTAAATATTAAAAAAAAATTAAAAAAGAAATAGATAGAATATTATAAAAAAATTAGAATGACTATTATTAATTACAAAAAAACTAAAGATTCTTAAATTAATTTAATTACAAAAGATGCATTGATAATACTAAAGATGGCTACGTTTTTACCTCTACATATACTTGCTATATATAAGATGTTGTAAAAGCTTTTTGAAACCAATGAGACTTACAACCAAAATCTTCTCTTTTTATGAGCTAAAATAAGCATCTACTAATTAGAAGGTTATTCTAGTTCACAACAAGTGAATTACTATGTAATATTTAGAAGTTGTAGCTATTATTCAAATCCTAATCAAATCAATCTTTACTCTTTTTAAATCACCCAAGTAATCAAGCCAAATCTCTACTATTAACTCACACTTGTAATAATAAATCATTGAAAAAATTCATGCCTAAAAGACTTTCCTTCTTTTAACTATTTATTTATTTTTTTACTTTATTTTTGTTTTTTTTTTATTTAATTAAAAATCATCCAATAAAAAATCATCCAAGTAAAAGTTTTCATTTGCAAATAACTTCTCATCTATGCTTAAATTTCATCATTGATTAAAAAACTCCATCCAAATTTAAGCTCATCCAATTCTAACCTAACTTCATCCAAGTTCTTAATTATCAATCAATTACAATTAAATATCTCAACCACAAATTTATTCACCAGATGAAGTCCAATCCACAAGTGAAGTTTTCTTAGTAATCAATTCTAATTAAGATATGCACTCACAACATGTGGAGTAGATAAAAACTGCCTTTTGAACTTTAATTAGAAGCCACCTTCGAAGCTATTGGCACATGTAAAACCGTTGCCTCTAATGCTGGTTTGGTTTGCTCCAGCCGAACTGCACCACTTTGCCTGTTCACCCCCATAATGGAAGAAAAAACAAATCGCCGCCTACAGCTCTCTTGCCATGAGGTGGAAACAATAGAGCCCTGATTGCCAGAAGCTGGATTCCTCGCCGTCGGATGGATAAAGGAGTCAAGGTACCCTCTGAGAAAGTTGGCCAGATAGGAAATTCAAAGAATCCATAAAGCTGCTCTTTAAGCTACCGCCACAACTTCGCCTCAAGCATCAAACTCTGGAAATCCACCCAAATTTATCACTTCCAATATTGCCGGCAAGAATGCAAGAACAGATCTCAAAACAGACTTTTTTGCAATTTGCACTTAATGTTCATGTCACTGCTCGGACGAGCCACATCAACTCATGACCAGGGGTGACAACCCTGCTTCGCTCACACACGTTCCTCACACAATGACTGACCTTATCGCAACATATCCACCGCGAAGGCAAAACTAATGGCATCTATTCCACAACAATCTACTCGAGGAGTACTGATCTCAACTAATGAACGTCATCATTTATTTATTTATTTATTTGAATCAAATCGACTCCAAGTTGTGATTCCATTGCTACTGAACTCCAATAGCTTCCAGCTTTAGCTCCCCTAGTTTGCAAGTCAACTAGCAAGACGATGAGACATACATCAAATAGAATTATTGCAAAGCCGATCAATACGAAATCCTCTATCACGTCTAGAGATGATTCGTCTCGTGCAGTTCACTCGATTGAGCTTGAATATTCACGTCTTGCGCTGTGTCAATAAGGACTGAAGCCAATATGCAAGGGCACCACGCCGCCTTTCGCACTGGATGCCGCATCTACACCAAGAACTAGAGAATCCACCGCCTAGTTGTTGTGGACAAAATTGCACCGATAGCAATTCCGCTCATAGCAACCCGCGTCGCACCTCCGCCTATGCCGCACCTCCGTATTGCAGGGGTAACTAGCAGAAAAAACAACGAGGAGCCACAAATCTAGTGGCTGTAGTCGCACCAAAACCACAAGCAGGTCGCCACTGCAATGTCGGCGTTTTAGAATCACACAAAGCCTTCCTAAAAATACGACCGCACTGCGGTACCACTGTCGCTTCTAATTTCCGGCTCCACGCTGATCACAATACAAAAGAAGAGGATGCTGCACTGTAGCACCTCAACGGAACGAAAAGAAAATCCCGCAGCCACACACACAGGCGATGGAACGCACTGAAAACTTTGGAGCTCCTCCAACAGCTCACAAAAACAAAAGAAAAAAGAAGAGACCAAAATTTGGGGCGGCCCGGATCCTTATCAACAATGAGGCCCCCGAAGTTCAGGGGCAACCTCATCGTTTTTTTTTTTTTTTTTTTTTTTTTTTGGTTTTTCTCTTTTTGGTTTTTCCTTCTTCTATTATTATTTTATTTTTAAGGACTACTAATGAATAATATTTTTTTATTTGTTCTTTTGAATAGGTTTGAATCAACAATTCTTCTTTAACTTTCTAGTTGAAATCACAACAAGATTTTTTGAAAAAATTGATGAAACAAAAAATTAATTTATATGCATTCTTGCATTCAAAGATTATTTTATCTTAAAAACCCATCATAATAAATTCTACCTTAAATTGCATCTCCACAAGTAAAATATATATCAAAGAAAATATATATATATATATATATATATATATATATATTCTAAAAAAAACTAGAATGGCTATTGTTAAAGATTACAAGACAAGAGACTCTTGAAACTAGATTAAAAGAAAGAATAGGATTAAAAAAAATAAAAAATACTTCACTCTAATCTTTATATATATCATCTAATTGAGAATGATGTGGCTATATTTTATAAGACTTCCAACATGTGTTTAACTTGTAAGACATATATGTAACTTGCAAATTAAGTTTCTTATATTTGCACTACATCGCCAACTTATTAGTCAAGTTTTTAATCTACTAATTATCTTCAAATATGTATAAAGTCAAATTTGATTTTGTAAAGTCCAAAGAATATTATATAATTTAAAAAATTTTATTCACTTTTGCCTAATCTATCTTCTTGAGGTAAATACTAATGCTAGTTATGTTTGTAATAGAGTACTTCTTCTAATAATTTAATCATATTAAATTATGTGCAGATTTGAGTGTTTGCAAAAATTTGATTGTATACAAATTGTGTTTTATTTTTATTTTTTATTTTTATTTTTTTTCTGAAGAAATAATTTATAATAAGTATTTACTAGTAGCAATAATAATAGAAATTTGCTTAAACTTATGGCATGGTAATAAGTCTTCCACACAGATAATAATTATACAATGATAGAACTTTATTGTGACAAGAGATATAGTGGTCTTTAGAGCCATACAATAATTTGTAAAGGTGCATTGTCATAGAAGCTTTCATAAACACAAACATATAAAAAAATATAAATAAAAATAAAAGAACCAATGTTTTTACATATCAAAGTTTAGAAGTATACTTTAAAAATATATGGAGTCTAAATTTAATATTTTAAAAGTCATTTTTACTTAGAAATTTTCTTAAAAAATTAATGTTATTTTAGATTTATAAATTAGAAGTCATTTGGAATAATAAAGTCATATTTATTTATTATTATTATTTTTAATTGAATTTTAATCCTTTTCTTTTCTATATTTTATATTTTAAATTCTTTATTGTGATCTTTTCTTATTATTACAAGTTTTGTAATTTGTGAATATCATCTATAGGTGAATACCAATTACTTTGATTTATTAATGATTTTTGCTTTTATATTGTTTGGAATAAAGATTTAGTTTAGATTTTTATTTTTGTTTCAGTATCTTCTCTTAATTATAAGTATTATTGTGTATGGCTTTTTGGTGTTGCCCTATTTTGTGTTATACTAGTCTATGTTAATATGCATTTTATAGAAATGAGATCATCTTGATGGCTAACAAGATCTTTTTGTTTTGGTTATTGGCCTTGTTGTGATATAGAGGTGATTTCTAGTGAAGTGCAAATATTGGTGATAATTTTAAGCAAATTTTGTCTTTAAGCCTTTAAATATTTTTAGTTAGCTAAGTTGTATTTTTACAACATATACTAAGACTTTATATTTTTAAACTCTTTCGCAAGACTACTTAGTCATTCATCATATCCAAGACTTTACGCTACCAATGGATATTATTAAGGTTTTGTAGGTTATTTCAATGGTAGGTAATACCAAAAGACTTTGAGTTTAGAGTATAGACACATTTTATGAGATAGAAGACAATTCCCGTAATATGATATATATATTTTATTTATTTATTTATTTTGGAAAAAGTTGAGAGCATTTCCTTGTCAAATTAAAAGCTTAGATATCAAACATAATTCAAGAAAAAATATCAAATTTCTTTTCTTTTTAATGAGTGATATGCCTTTGAGCTATTATTACAATATTTTGAGCATAAGCACTTTAGACCTATGAAAGGAGTAAATAATACTCACTTTAATTGCAAGAACTTAAGCATTATTAAGAAGTCAATATAGAGCTTCTCTCAGTTTTTAAAGAAGGTGCTTTTTTTTACTTAAATTTTTGTATTGAACAAAGAAGATCCACAAAAAAATCAAAAAAATTAAAAAATGATACAACTACAAAAGATACCAAAAAAAGGTGTGATGGCTTAAGATGTAAAGACAACTATGTTTGTAATAGGAGAGCTTCTTAGAGCATTTATTAAATATTTAATGTATAAGTATAGAAGCTTTAAATGTAATCAAATGCAACAAATTTAAAACTTGTATTGAAAAAAAGATATTGCATACACTATATATACTTATTTGGCTTAATTTGCAATAAAATCAAGGAGTATATTTTTTGAGAGTCAACTTGTCAAGGTTATTTATTTTATTTTATTTTATTTTTTTCAAAGATTGACAAACAACTATTAGAACTGATTATATTAAGGATTATTTTTAATTATAATAGCAAGACAATGTTGGCACAAGCATTTGCAAAAGTTGAGACCTGTGATAGAGCCTTCTATCAACATAATGATTCTAACATGGTTGTTTGGATGAAAAATATTTCCATACCTAAGAAGATTGTTTTTGTTACAAGTACCTTCATGAAAATTCAATATAAAAGGACAATGTATTATCAAAGGTGTTTTAAATTTAGTCATACTAAAAAGAATATTTATTATTCTAAAAAAATCTTTAATATATAAAAAGCCTAAAAAATAAAAAATAAAAAATAAAAAAAATCTAAAAAAATCAATTTAAGTATATTCATCAACTATAGTAATCATAATTGCTTCATTTTAAATCCAAATAAGTATCTTATTTTAGATAAAAAAGAACCAAATTAAAAAATAAATTCAATAGTATGGCCTTACTAGGCCAAATCATTAAAAGCTAATATTTTAGGAAGTTGATCAAGATAACAAAGATTAATTCTATTACTAGAAGTTTTTTTTTATTTGGCCTTAAAAATACACCAACTATATTTTAAAAGAAAATGGATTAAATACTGGTTGCCTTATTATTTGTTAGATGCTACATTGTAATATTATTATTTTTGGTAGCAATCTGTAACATCATGTGAGATATTTATAGATTATATTTGAGCAGTTATATGTCAAGGACAAGAACTCAATAAAAGCAAATAAATAAGTACAATTCTTTCAAAGAAATGTGATATATATATATATATATATATATATATATATATATATATATATATATATATATATATAAAGAAATTATAATAGGTATTGTTAAAAGATAAGAAAACTAGAGACTCTTGAAACTAGACTAGAAGCAAGAAAGAAATTGATAAGAGTGAAAAAGACTTCACACTTGTATACTATCTACCTAGGATCTATGTGGCAATATTCTATAGGACTTCCAAAAATATATTGACTTTGCAAAATACATATCTTAACTTATAAGGTAAGTTTTCTATATGGATGCTACATAGTTAGCTTATTCCACAAGCTATCAATACATATGGTATATGATTAGCTTTTTAATCTAGTTTCTTACCTATCAATTAGCTAAAAATACATGTAAAGTCAAAACAACATCAAGAAAGCTTCTACAAAGCTTTTTTAAAAGATATTATGAAATTAATTTATTTTTATATATTTCTACCTATTCATATTATCTAGATGATAATTAATATATATATATATATATATATATATATTCTTGATATTACTTCCTCCTTTTAAAGATAAGTTCCACAAGAAGTGGTGATCACATGTTGAAGAAGTCTAAGATGCGGCAAATTATATTTGCTACGTATTTTGATCTTTGTTTCTTTTGAAAGTAGTTGATAGGTCTTCTTAGCCATTGATAATGCCTCCTTTTAAGGTAGGAAATCTACCTTGTTATTTGATTATTTTTGAAACCTTTGTAACTTCATTCAAATAAAATATTTATAATACCATCAAGAGTCATTTCCACCTCTAATAAAATTATAAAACATCAAGACTCTCTTCCTAGGTTGTAATATCAAATACGTTATATCTTGCCATCTATTTGAGGAAAAAACATGTCCTTCTCGAAGGTCTTCATTCCTATTATGTCAGCTTGAAGGCTGTTATAATTGTAATGACTTGTCCAATAAGTCAAAAAATCATGGCTCTTGAATTGAATCTGCTAGCTATTGGTTCTCTAGTTTTTTAATGCCTTAATTATATAAAAACTACAAACAAAGATAGAAGGTAGAATTCAATCTTTTCTAAATTTTGTTTTTTTTATAGCAAAGGTTTATTATCCTTCATCTTGGTTTTGATGGATGTCATCTATAAAAAACTTTGATCTTTTCTATTGTATTTTTATGAATTTTTACTAGCTTCTATATATATTGTATCCGTGCTAATGAATAATATATTCCAACATATGTCGATGTTGCCTTGAGTCTAAGACTTCTTCTACCTTAAATTTTTAATTATTATCTACTTATGTAGGAGGCAGAGATATTTGTCTTCTTTTCAAGATATTCTTTGTTTTTTATGGCTTTAAAAAAAACATTTGAAATATAAGATGGATTTTCATAGACTTTGGTAGATGTAATCTATAAGTATCTGGATTGACTTGTTTACAAATAAAAAATGGTCTAAATCTATAATAAACCAACTTGGCATAAGAACGAATAGTTTTAATATTACAACAAAGTAACCATACCTTATTATTAACCTAAAAATAAGATTTTTCTTTATGATAAGCATCCGTGTTACTCTATTGTTGTTCTTGAGCCTCTTTTAGTCATGCCTTTATTGTTGTATGTAACTCAAATAAATCATTTTCCAAATCTT